CCCCCCCACTTCCCTTCTGTCTGTCTGGTCGGCCTGCCTAGTCCGGCACAACATTAAGAGTTGGCGGGGATATCGGTGAGAGCGACGAGAGCAAATCCGTGACAGAGCAATTTAATGAATTTGAGGAGAGCGGTAACGAATTGGTTTTCCAACTAAAGTTGACGGGGCGTGTTCAGAGCCGGCAGGCCTTTACTCGTTTGTTTGAGTGAAAGAACAGGCCTTTACTCGTTTGTTTGAGTGAAAGAACAGGCCTTAAGCCTTTACTCGTTTGTTTGAGTGAAAAAACAGCACACTGACACAGTAATGGGCATTTAGTCAGAAAGAAAACCATGCGCTAGACGTACGAAGACAGATGAAGAAAAGCAACAGCCTACCATTGGCATTCTCCAAACGCCAGTTAAACTAGATTCTAGCACACGAACGGAAGGAGAGACGGCAGGATATCCAACCCTTAGAAGACTGACTGAGAGTGTACAAAAACAGACGAAGAAGGGATGTGGAAGTAATGAGAGATTGTTTTGGACGGCGTTGGTAGTTGGTGGGGCGGTGGGAAGAGGAAGGGGAAGGGTAAAGGAGGGGGGGGGGGGGGGTACTTGATAACCAGGATAGGGTGGCGAAGGGTAGTTAGTGTAGTCACAAAGAGAGTGGGGAGATCGGTAATAAATCTACAGCTTTATACCTTCCATTAGTCTTAATTTGTTCTGCTACAGAATTTTAAAAAAACTGAGACGAGTCGGGGGCTAGGAAGGAGAAGACAGATAAAAAGAAACCAAAATGGTGCGGAGGAGAGAAAGAGATAGGACAGGAGAAGGAAGAAAGAAAAACAAACAAAAAAAGACTATGGCTAGTGTTGCTGGGGGGGGGGGGGGTGTTCTTTTCTAGCTGCTTCCGCCGTGAAAGCCCTATCCCACACTTCCTTCAATGTTATACGTCTCGACTTCTATTCCAGACTGCTAGGTTATTTTTTCCTCTAAAGCCAGGCAAATGAACAGACTTTGAGATGATACCAATAACTTCACATGCCCGAAAATTCGACCAGGACCTGATTCCACCTCGTCGCGACCCATATGCTTCTCGAGAAAATAACAGCCTTACGACGATACAATTCAATTTTATTTTCACTAGTTGCCGATGCCTGTTTGTTTTTTGAGGTGACGTTGATGAGTGCGTAGCTGTTAACCCTTGTGCAGATGAGCCCGACGAAGCGTGTGACCCGCAAAAAAATTTTTTACAGGAGATGGTAGTATTGGGAAGGGGAGGTATGCAGCATCATTAATGTTTTTGAAGGAGCTTTGTGTGGGTGCGTGTATGTGTTTGAGAGAGGGGGCGAGACCAGGGAAAGAGAGGGGGGAGGGGAGAGGTGAGAGAGGGGGGGGAGAGGAAAGAGAGAGAGAAAGAGAGAGAGGGAGAAAAAAAAGAGTGAGAGAAAGAGAGAGAGAGGCAGAGACAGAGAGACAGGGAGAGACAGAGAGAGACAGAGAGAGACAGGGAGAGAAAAAAAAAAAAGAGAGAGAGAGAGAGAGAGAGAGAGAGAGAGAGAGAGAGAGAGAGAGAAAAGATAGAGAGAGAGAACGCGATCAATTCCAGCAAACAAACCCCAGAAAATTACTGAATTAAAATCCATTAATCTGTGTGTCAGTCAAGAACTGTCTCCGCTTTTTTTTTTATTCTTTAAAAGAAAATTAATTAGAGAACTGTACGCAGATACTAAGAACACATTGTTATACTTACTGACTGTGAGTCCCGACTTGAAACTAGCTCCACGTAATTCGATAATAATAATAATAATGATATGTTTCTCTCTCTCACTCCGTGGAGAAGTACGAAATAATGTCGTTTCTGCGCCAGCTCTCCAGAGATAGATCACATACTGCTCCGACGCGACGACCTCGTCGACTTACGACAATGTACACACAGGTCAAAAGGTGAACCAGTGCTCTAAAAAAAGAAAAATAATTTTTTTTTTTTAAAGAAGAAGAAAAAGTTGCATAAATTTTTTTCCTAGCCTCAAGTCAAACAAGAATGTTTGTTTAGAACAGAAAGTAGGTAACAAAACAGATCTGAAGGAAGGATCATACAAGGGGACAAAATGTAATATCTCAGCCTATCTTGTGTTCGCATGAGGAAGCCTTGACGATTTCGTCCCTCGTTTTGATAAAAAGGTATCGATACTTACACTGAGAGAGGTGACGTTTAGGGTGAGAGGTCAAGCTGAAGGTGCATCATAATATATTCAATGAGGAGGTGACCTCATTACTGTTTGTAAGCACGCTGTCACCGCAGTTGTATGCAGTGTGCAGTGTGCAGCGCTTCTTACTGGGCTCATTAGTTATTCAGTGGAGAAGGAGAAATGGTTTGAAAAGAAAGAGAGGTAGGAAGGAAGGAAGGAAGGAAGGAAGGAAGGAAGGAAGAAGAAGAAGAAGAAGAAAAAGAAGAAGAAGAAGAAGAAGAAGAAGAAGAAGAAGAAGAAGAAGAAGAAGAAGAAGAAGAAGAAGAAGAAGAAGAAAGAAAGAAGAAGAAGAGGAAGAGGAAGAAGAAGAAGAAGAAGAAGAAGAAGAAGAAGAAGAAGAAGAAGAAGAAGAAGAAGAAGAAGAAGAAGAAGAAGAAGAAGAAGAAGAAGAAGAAGAAGTCTAGTTGAATAAAAAAAAAAAAAGGGTGGGAGATGTGTTATTGAGTGAAAGATTGAAAAATGTTCGGGGGGGGGGGGGGGGGGGTTAAAGGGGAAAAAACTCTAGAAGACGAAGTATTTTGGGTCTAAGAGAGGGAGCATTCCTCTGCCAACTCTTCTTAACCTTCAATGACAAGACAATTCC